GTGCATTCATCTCGGCCAGCTAAGCACAACGGACAACATTCAAGGGGGCCCCCTTCCACGATACTGAGAGCCGTACCGGTGAAAACGGAGAAATACAACGACGGTAGAACCGAGTCGTTTTCACCGCGGCAGTATAAGAGGTTAACCCGGGGCAACATCCCTGAGCTGATAATATCGGTGTTAGATATAAATCATAACCCTGTGAATCTAGGGTACCTCAGCATAATGCTGCACATAAAATGACTAGCGCACAAGGCCCCGGGATGAGGTTGAAAAAATGCATCAATACGGGGATCTCCGACCTCGGGGACACACGCGGATTCGACGACCCCGGAGAAGATGGTAAATTATACGCCTTGCAACAGAAAAACAACATTTACAAACGCGTTGAAGTCCCCTCCGGTGGAACCCTAGGTGATATAGTAGATACCTCAAGAGCGGTCGTCAACACTCGGTACGCCCTAGTCAGCACCGGTGATGATAAATGGATAGTATACCCATCGTTCGGGGGCAAACTGTTCGACTTAGATGTTGAGAGCACTACCGTCGCCCGAAACAAGCCATAGACGCCCGTCCTCACCGACGATGATAAGTGGGTGTTGTTACCCGCTAAAGTCGACTGGTTTCTCAATATTAGGCTCGGCTCCCCCTACGTGTTCATGGAGAACAAAGACAACTACCTAAACAAAGTCGTGAACAACGGAACCCTGCTCGTGGCTTACGTCCCGGCTCAGAGGCGTAGCGTAGTCATCAGCCCAGCCGCCAGTATGGCAGCCCACATACTGTCGAGTAAACCGGGAGTCGAAATCGTGAAGGGGGTCAAACTCAGGTGGGTGAAACGGCACCAGTATCAGGTTTGCACTGTTTACGTACGGGTGGGTGCTGACTCCCACACCAGTCTGCAGGGGGTCATCGTGTCCGTGGAAGACACAATATCACTCACCAAGATCTTCCTACCCAACAACATACACTTCATGGGGTTGAAGTGCGCCCCTGAGAAATTATCAGAAAAACAATTGGAAACTATCTCGTAATAGTAATATATCAATGTCCAATCATCACCCCAACGCCACACTTAACGATCTAGGGGACACGGAGGGATTCGATCAGCCTGGCGAGGAAGACACCTTGTACGTCCTACACTTGAAAGACAACGTTTATAGTCGAGCAGCAATGGCCGATCATCTACCCAAAATCACACTCGGGGGTCTAGGAGGCATAGAGGGTTTCGATCAGCCCGGCGAGGAAGACACCTAGTACGTCCTACACTTAAGAAACGGCGTGTACATGCGGCGGCGTCTGCCAGACCACTTTATAGAACCCAAATGGTTGCTCAACATGACCCTCACCAAACTTTATATCTCGTTTGACAAAGATAGGCATATCTCCGAAATTAGGAACAATGGTATCTTGTTCGGGGCTTTCGTTCCGAAGTATGCTATAAGGGCTCAACTAATGGGGGATCTTAGTTACTTCAGGCTTGGAGGATGAGTTAAAGTTTGACGTCCCCAATTCCCAATTGGACCTTATGAAGGTGAAACCAGGCTCCACACTCGCCATAGAAGTCTTCTTCATGGGGGGTGATCCTGTAGAACAGCAACTTTACCCAGGGTGACAAGCGCGGGCAAACATTGCCGTATCGTCATACAACCGGACCCCTCAACGGGTTCTATAGTGCCCTCAATACACTCCTTAGAAGGCTCCCTCGATAGGGTTCATGTGAACGCACAGTTACCTATTTACCTCTCCCCTATTTCCCTGTACAAGGGTCTAAGACTTGTAAGCTTCAAATACACTGAGCAAAAAGTAAATAACGCACATTTTAAAGATATTTTTAGAATATATTATATGCACAGTATGGGTCTGTACCCAGTCGCAGAGAAGTAGCGAAGCCCCTGGAAACCGTAGACGGGTTCCGCTTGAGCCAGTTATGCGACATAAAACGCCAACTAGAACAAGACCGCGACACACGGGCAGCATTGTATAAGAAGTACCATAGAGCTTTCAAAGTCGTGGATGGTGTTGATACTGCCCTTATGGCTACCAGTATGGGGTTAGGGGCAGTAGGTGTGGGGTTGTTGGCCACCATCATAGCCGCAACCGCAGTGCTAGGCATTGAAATAACAGCTGGGGTGTCAGGGTTGGCTGGATTGGTGTTTAAGTTTGTGTCACGCAGACTGCACCGGAAGGCATTGAAACACGACGAGATCAGGATTCTGGCTGAAGCAAAGCTGAACACGGTAAGTGAGCGTATTTCTACAGCATTCACTGACAGTAAGATCTCAGAGGAGGAATCTCGTTCAATCCTCTCTGAACTCGACAAGTACCGTAAGATGAAACAAGAAATCCGGCTCAAGTCTCGTAAGTCTGCTATCGGCGAAGAGGAGAAAAAAAAGTACATAGAACAAGGGGTGCGAAACATTAAACTGTTTCACAACACATAGTGCCACGTGATCAGGTTCGAGGTCATAGCTGCACAATAGTGCCACGTGGAGCCGGGGAGTTAACTGGGGGTTCAAAAGTAGTAGATACAATGGTGGCGAGATCTAAGGGCTTGACAAAAGCTTTTTTTGTGAAGTAAAGCTTTGCAGAGGCTTTTGTTGGACTTGATCCCGGACTATCATTATATATACTACTAAAAACATTGAAATTTAAAAATAAAAAAAGGAAAAATTCAGGTTCTGTCCAACAACCTTGGCACGCTTAAAATATCTGTGGAATTCCTTGCTTTTATCATGAGTCTTGACATGCACCACCAGAGGATCATCCAATAAATAAATATGTGCAAAAGTACACAATAAAATTCTATCATGAAGAGCCTCCACATTAATCAAACCCCGATCTCCCGAAGTGATTGGCATATATAATCGATTGAGAGAGGACCGAGGGTGGTGAGCTCTATTATCAGACAGGATCCTTCTGGTCAGGCGGTCAAGACTCTGGATGTCTTGTTTAGTCCAATCAACTACTCCAAAGGAATAGGAAAGGACTGGCACAGTAAAAGTATTGGTGGCTTTGACCTTGTTTCGATCATATAGCTCTGAGCTCCAGATTTCCTTTAAGCGAGTTTTATACTCGGCCAAAAGTTTATCATTATTATGAGTTTATGACCGCTAACCATGACATATTATTGACGTGAATAGCGAACCTTGTATCTTGACATACCGTGTTATAGCAAAAATTACTTTGTGAGCAAAATGAATTGAAGGTAGGCAGTTCAAGACAGAATGTAATTTTAGTGCATTCTAAAGTGTCCGTGAAATAAAATAATTTAAGCTTGTGAGGTTAGCTCGACACTTACTTTGAATGAGACACAAATGCATATATCTACACACCCACACCCCCCTCTGTGTCCAACTGGTTCACATCAGTCCTTGTTCATTTTGCGTCAAGTTTCGACTTACCGCTCCACTATACACCATACTTTCATATTCACAAACATGCACAAAAAGCATTTCAGCTCCCAAAGGTCCATTCATGCAGACAGGATTTCGAGATTACATTTTTCACACATGATCACCCAAGCTCTCAGTCACATGTGCTAAAAAAAGTGTATTTTCTGAATAGAGGCATTGTGTAATCATATTTTCTGAACTTAGCTAAAATACACTTCAGCTGATTCAATAATAAATGTCAGATCATTCCGTGTAGGTTATCGGACAAAATGTTTCGAAATATTGATCTGTCGATCCTTCATAAATTATGCCACTGAAAGTGATTTCACATAGGCCTTTGTACAGTGGGGCTCAGTGGAGGAAAATCTGGTCAGTTAACAAGGGAAGTTAACTTGATATTCAGAAAGTCAAATATCTGGACAATATTTGAGAAAAGCCAAGTGTTGCTTTAGGTTATTGCCTTTAGGTTATACTTTCAAATCTAGCAAGTCATGATGCTATATCGAGGTTTACTGACATGGTTGATGCATGTCATCGTATCCCAATTGCACAAATCGTGTTCATCACATCAACCACTAGCTTGTCTGGTCCAGGTTCTGTTATTTACAGACCGCCGTCATACAGCTGGACTATAACGGTGTTTAACAACAAGCGAACTTGATTCGCAACCGCATGTTTGTAAAATTCATATCATGCTATGCTTTCAGACATTAACGTGACATGACCAAATGGGAAATGTAACACGTCCCACATACTGTTCACACTAAACTCACAGATAACCGCAAGGTTCGGGTTAGAACTGGTCTTTAGTAACCCGTGTTTGTCCTGAGAGGGGACTAACGGGATCGGGTGGCAAGGCACGCTGACTTGGTTGAGGCAGGTCAGTGTATTCCAGTTGCTCATGATGTCAGTCGTTGTATTATCTGATCCAGACTAGAATGTTTAGTCCAATGTCATAGAGCAGTCTAGCCTGCTTTACAGGCAAGTCATACTTCCTCGTTGAGACTAACTTGCAACTCAGATACCACCATTTCAAGCGCAGTGTTGCAGTCAGAAGTAAATACAAAATACAAAACAACACAAAAATACAACACAATTTAGACAACAGATGGTGTGAACGATAATAAAACATTCTTGTTCATTCCGGCAAGTCCAGACACACTAGATAACCAAGGCATACTAAACATTCGGCCCGACAACATGTAACAGATCAGTGGCAACAGAGCTGGAATGATACATGCCACATAAGCTTGATTCCATTAAAGTGAGTGAGTGAGTTGGGTTTTACGCCGCTTTTTAGCAATATTCCAGCAATATCACAGCGGGGGACACCATAAATGGGCTTCACACATTGTGCCCATATGGGGATTCGAACCCGGGTCGTCAGCGTGACGAGATTCCATTAAACCCAACATTTGACAGGATCCCCTTACTGGACCAGCTCAACGCATTCGTTTTAAAAAAGGATCCACCAGCATGCATACCCTGCTACAGGCCAAGTTGCAGCACGCATATATTGCTGGAATGTGTTGATTTTGTACGATGTCCCTACTTTAGGTCCTAACTATAATTTTAGCATATTAAAAAGAAATCAAACTCCATGAGAAATATATAGATGTTTATTTCAGCAGTCATTTTACATTTGAATGTGACATTTCACCGAGATTTTAGTGATTTTGAACATCACATTCATTGTGTTTAATATTCTTTCCGTCGTGATATTGCTGGAATATTGCTAAAAGCGGCGTAAAACTAAACTCACTCACTCACTCACTAATATTCTTTATAGCAAAAGACATTTCTCGCCGATCTTTGCTTAAGCAATATTCACTCACTCACACACTCGCTAAAAACCGGAAATAGAGACTACTATATCTGTGTGTCTTGCTATTGCAAATTACACATTAGGGATAGAAACTGTCAACAATTTGACGGTAGTTGGACGAGACTAGTCGCATTCACTTAGCAGTAATATCTTACCCTCGCCATTTAGCTGGGACCCGTTTCACAAAGCTATCGTAGCACTACGACTGTCGTAAGTCTATGTTACAGGGGCCCGTTTCACAAAGCTCTCGAGCTCGTAACTCTAAGATCTCGTAACTTTTCTCGTAGCATTCATACTTCATACACTGTAACATTGACTTGCGATAGTCGTAGCGCTACGTGAGCTTTGTGAAACGGGCACCTGGAGTGCGGCGTAAGATAACAAACCAACCAGCTAATAGTAATATCCATGTGACCTCCGGTATACGGGAACAGCTGCTGCACACACTGAAGCTGCCATTAGACATCCGCCTGTACAAAGTAAATATTCCGTTATAACTGATAATGAAATATACATGTTAAATGGAGCATGTAAAATGAAATATACATGTTAAATGGAGCATCTATATGCTGTTGGTACCACTTGTATGGCCATTTTCACTAGCAATACAATTATCCAGCGTAAATGTGATTCACACAATACAGAACTAAATCGTATGAACCAACATTAGATGGTTTAAGTTTCTAGATTTTTGTTTCTGCAGTAACCTGTCTGACGTCTCACCTCCAAAGAAATAAGTGTGGTCGTAGTCCTTACTGCTTTCATAGATCATACCTTAAAAGGAAGGAAAAATACTTGTTCATGATCCATTGGAATGTATGTTGCGTTTCTATTATCTTATCAAATAAATACTATTTTCCCCTAACATCAGTAGATCGGGGAAGGGGGGCTTCACACCGATGTGTTGAATGGAACCCAGGTCTTTACCCATTAGGATGCCCCACCACGCAGTACCCAGGAAGACACTTAGATTTAAACACACATACCCAGGTGTCATTAAAACCCTGCATGTTCCCGCAAGAGAATATAACGTTGAATACGTGATCCGTTGTAGAAAGTCCTCATTTCGTCGATTAATTTCGCATCTGAAGCCTGTTCTCGACCTAACGGCCTCGACCATAATCATGATCGAAACTAAACTAAACGAATCTTACGTCACTATAACCTGCCATGTAGCTGTCAGTGTTCAAGCTGACGCATATACATCTACTGTTAGCTTTGCTTGTAGATATACTGTAATGAAAATTTATGGATATTTCGATTCCATTTAGGTTTAGTAAATAATTATATCAGTTAAAGGTCACATGCAACGTAAAACACAACTTTGCAGATTCTGATACCTTTCGGTATGGACTTACCGAAAAAAAGCGTCAAAAATGCAAATTCAACTTATAAAGTTGAAAAATAACGCGATGAAAAAAAACGCGCGAAATCGGAGTTCAAACGTTTCACTAATTTTCCCCAGACTTTTCTGGGGAATACGGGTTTCAACAGCTGGCTGCGCTCATAGCACGTGCGCAGTGAAATAGGTTCGCGCAACTTGGAAGCGGGCTGTCTGGTGAATACTCGGTGAAGGCTTTGGTGTGAGCTAGTTTCATAATGTTTTGTTGATATCTCACAGGCGCGAGCTTTTTATATGTTATGACAGTAAATAAACTGTTTATATAATTTCATTTGTCTATTTCACCACACGTTCTTCTTACCGAGTCACTTTCTCAGTTCGATACTTAAAAGCAATGTCATTATTTATCGTTGACACAATTTCTAACTGTGATTTAGATATGTCGCTGTCACAGACAAAACTCAATGTCTTGTTTTATTGACACCAGTGTGTCTGCCTGCCTGTCTGCTAATGACAATATTCAATACACAACTGCGATCACTGACCACATGCAATTTGAACTTAACGCCAATCAGGCTATACACCATAAATAAAACGCATTGATTTATGGCCCGAGTTCGGTCTCTGTCACATTATGTAATTACACAGACAGGCAGGTGTGATACTTGAACACATGACATGTTATGATGTCTGTTGATTGCAAAATGTTATACACAAAAAATGAGCATGTATTTACAAAACCCAACTTTCTATATATACACACACACAATGACCCGTGAAGGCGGCATCAGCTAATGAACCAGCCGTTACACTTGAGTGCACACCCACCCGCTCTGACTTGGTTCGGTATCCCGGCTGCTTCGTTTCGAGGGAGGTAAACCCAAGTACAAAATATTGCACTTTTGATTTGTGATTATACGCTTATAATTTTGTTTATATGTTTTTTCATAATCAGCAATGCATATTATATGTCATGAAGAAGTGATAATTGTGTTTTAATTATGTTTGATTTTTTGGTTGCATGTGACCTTTAATAATTATATATTTATAGACGATAAAGAAAGTATATTGAGTGTATTGTACACTAGTATACCTCTCCAACATGTTTCCCCAAGAGAACAAACGTTGACGTCCTGTTCAGTTGCAGAAACTCCTTATTTCGTCGATTAGTTTCGCATCTGAAGCTTGTTCTCGACCTAAAGGCCTCGAACCATCCTCATGATCGAAACTAAACCACAGATTTCGGACTTATAACTACACGTATCTTAAACGTAGTGATATGCACTGTACGTTTAATGATTATCCAATACCCCAAAGAGCAAACATTCAGCATCCTAAACCTGAATGCAAGATTACATTAATACATCTTACTTGCGAGTGGCGGGCCAAGAATATATCCAATTCCTATGGCGAAATGAGTCATCCCGTATCCAACAGCTAGATGAGACACCCCTACACATTCCACAGTCATTGGGCTCAGGATGCTATGAAGGCCTCCCCCATACAAGCCATACAGCGCACTGAACAACATCTGGAGAGGATATGTATGTGAGAACAGTGGGAACAACAGGGTCAGGATTCCTGCTATTCCCAATAAGCTGACATGGAGCAAGGTGATGCTTATCTCTTTGTCGTTGGATATGATACCGGTGATTAATCTCGACAACAGACTACATATACCCATTGCAGTAAACAGATTCGCTGACTGAAGGCGAGGGGTCTTCTTTGAGTGAGCGTAATTAGGTAGATGGAAGAGGATAGCATTTTCACCCAGACCCATGAACAGAAGACTGATGTTGTAGAAAAGAAATCCATTCGCTGTTATTAGAAACAAGTTTCTTCTCAAATAATTCAAACATCTTGGCAAGTTTGAATTACGAGTTTCGGAATGTAAAATTCCTGAATCCGTTTTAATGTTTTCACTTCCTTCGGTCACAAACTTACTTCTGGAATATTTAGTTTCCTCGCAGGTCCCAGGTTTGTTTTCGGTTACCTCAATCTGAATCTTGTCATGCAAATTTTGGTCATCAAAGTCATCCTCCACATTTTCATAATGTTCCCTCATCGTATTCGATTCATCCTGAACTTTGTTACCTTCAATAAAGAGCGGATCTGACTGGTAATCGTGGTTGTTCTGTGATAGTTGCTTCCAATGCTGCTTCTCGTCGTGGTCTCATCAGAGATCCTGCCACACAGAAGTTACTCGCAATGCCACCAAATATGAGAAACGCACCACTGAGAGAATAGGTTTGTAGTAATATTGCAACTAAAGGGCCACCAGCAAACAAACCCATGGCGGTTCCGGCTGTGGACACTCCAAATGAAATGGGGAGACGTTTTTTAAAATAATACCCAGGTATGGTACCCGCTGCATTTACTGCCAGACAAGCTCCCAGGCCTGGATAAAAAACAACAACAGCAACAAAAATACACCCAAAAATATGGAGAAGGTTGAATGTATTTTGAAGTTAAGTACCACTGTGCGTTAAACCTGATCCAATCAGTCAATCACTAATTTGGATATCTCAACATCTACATATTACGAATTGTCTCCTCATAATATCCATCTCATTCTGTCTCCTTTTGATAACTTGTGCTTGAATAATGTATTAATACTAAATATGGTATGTTTGGATATTGTAATGTCCTAAATAATGTATACTTTTAAGTCACATGCTAGTTTTAAATCTCTAACTGTGATATTTTAGTTCTTTTACTGTCCTTCGCAGACAGACTTTAAGATATAACATCATAAATTATTTAAATATGATCCTTTTCAGTCACGATATGGCTGAAACATTGCCAAAGTGACTATAGATTTTAACTCACTCACGCTCACTTTATAATTTTACAACGTCTGATATTACCTGTCAGGATGCCATTCGTGAGCAGTAGACCATTAACACTCTTTATAAAGGAAGCTGCACTCATCCCAATTAGAACCAACATTCCTCCGGTACATGTAGCCACCTTGCAGCCAAATCTGTTTGTGAAAACTCCAGCTACTGGACCTGATGAAATAACGGTCAATTTGGGGGGAAGTAATCAATAATCAATCAAAATATGCAAAATACACACACGTAAGAGTACCTAGACATTCAACCACGGTAATACACGTGTTCTCTACACAAACGTAAGAGTACTTAGACAGTCAACTACGGTAATACACGTGTTCTCTACACAAACGTAAGAGTACTTAGATTCTTTATCATAGATGACGTCTTCAATGCAAAATAAAACCAATCCGTTATACTCGTTTGGGCTAAATAAACAGAAGTGTAATTTTACCAAAGTCCTCGTACAGAACACCTACCACCTGGGATTGTGATTTTTCCGACCAATGTTCTCGTACAGAACACCTACCACCTGGGATTGTGATTGTTCCGACCAATGTTCTCGTACAGAACACCTACCACCTGGGACTGTGATTGTTCCGACCAATGTTGTCGTACATAACACCTACCACCTGGGACTGTGATTGTTCCGACCAAAGTCCTCGTACAGAACACCTACCACCTGGGACTGTGATTGTTCCGACCAATGTTCTCGTACATAACACCTACCACCTGGGACTGTGATTGTTCCGACCAATGTTCTCGTACATAACACCTACCACCTGGGACTGTGATTGTTCCGACCAAAGTCCTCGTACAGAACACCTACCACCTGGGACTGTGATTGTTCCGACCAATGTTCTCGTACAGAACACCTACCACCTGGGACTGTGATTGTTCCGACCAATGTTCTCGTACAGAACACCTACCACCTGGGACTGTGATTATTCCGACCAAAGTCCTCGTACAGAACACCTACCACCTGGGACTGTGATTGTTCCGACCAATGTTCTCGTACATAACACCTACCACCTGGGACTGTGATTATTCCGACCAAAGTCCTCGTACAGAACACAACGTCCACCTGGGACTGTGATTATTCCGACCAATGTTCTCGTACAGAACACCTACCACCTGGGACTGTGATTGTTCCGACCAATGTTCTCGTACAGAACACCTACCACCTGGGACTGTGATTGTTCCGACCAATGTTCTCGTATTACCAGAACACCTACCACCTGGGACTGTGATTGTTCCGACCAATGTTCTCGTACAGAACACCTACCACCTGGGACTGTGATTGTTCCGACCAATGTTGTTCGTACAGAACACCTACCACCTGGGACTGTGATTGTTCCGACCAATGTTCTCGTACAGAACACCTACCACCTGGGACTGTGATTGTTCCGACCAATGTTCTCGTACAGAACACCTACCACCTGGGACTGTGATTGTTCCGACCAATGTTCTCGTACAGAACACCTACCACCTGGGACTGTGATTATTCCGACCAAAGTCCTCGTACAGAACACCTACCACCTGGGACTGTGATTGTTCCGACCAATGTTCTCGTACATAACACCTACCACCTGGGACTGTGATTGTTCCGACCAAAGTCCTCGTACAGAACACCTACCACCTGGGACTGTGATTGTTCCGACCAATGTTCTCGTACAGAACACCTACCACCTGGGACTGTGATTGTTCCGACCAATGTTCTCGTACAGAACACCTACCACCTGGGACTGTGATTGTTCCGACCAATGTTCTCGTACATAACACCTACCACCTGGGACTGTGATTGTTCCGACCAAAGTCCTCGTACAGAACACCTACCACCTGGGACTGTGATTGTTCCGACCAATGTTCTCGTACAGAACACCTACCACCTGGGACTGTGATTGTTCCGACCAATGTTCTCGTACAGAACACCTACCACCTGGGACTGTGATTATTCCGACCAAAGTCCTCGTACAGAACACCTACCACCTGGGACTGTGATTGTTCCGACCAATGTTCTCGTACAGAACGCCTACCTAACATTGTGATTGTTCCCACCAAAGTTGAGCCAATCCAAGAAGTCCGTGACAGATCATGTTCTACCTCCTCCAAGATGGCGGTGTTGAACACACCAGGAGAGTATACCAACATCCCTGTGATGAAGTTGGAAAATGTGGCAGCAAACAAAACGACCCAGGCATATCCACGGTCAATGTCCCTGTCTTGGTCGGTATCCATGACAATAGTACCTCCTTGACTATTAGCGCTGCAAGTCACACAAAGAAAAACCACGGCATAGAATGTGTTAGCTTGATAATACCAAACTGACGAATTCATATTGATGAGTTATATATAAATTTATTTGAATTTACAATACATATTCCCCTATAAAGAAAACACATTGTGCATCCTTAATGGATAGTAACTGATATTAATACATTAAGCATTGAACATATTACAGCAAGCACTCATAGAAATGAGTTGTTTGTTTGTTGTTTTAACGCCACACTCAGCAATATTCCAGGCATCAGATCGTGTACTTAGGAAGACGAACTTACTCTAAAATAACGACTGGATCAAGTTCTGAAGCAGCTTCTCAGACGCCCAATGGGAATCACCCCACTTACATCAAGCAGGCTACTTTTGAAAGCGACAGACAGCTATCCAGTGTAACATGAAACAGTCGCCCATGAATACAAACATTTTTTTCACACGAAGGAACAGTATTTCCCAAATTTAACCATGATAGGAAATCATCCGAGGCCCATGTGACCAACGTTTGAAATGTACGTATCATTTGGCCTCCAAATTTACATTTTTTGTGGCAGGTCATTCATTGATGGCACATGTTTAAATACCCTTGAATCGTACTTGAAAGATTTACAGTTTACTTTCTTCCATAATCTCCCAAATGTTCGGTCATAGGTAACTAAATTAATACCAATCCGACAGAAATTAGCGTTTATTTAAATGGTTCGGTAATATAACTGCATTAATATTACCAGCGATTGCTGGTTAGCGCGCAGCATCCACATCAGTGACGTAATGATGTAATTGGTAACATGTGGCGTGGAGATCCACAGACATTTCAAGATTCCTTGGTTGAGTATTTCTTAAACCAGACTTCATCGACGCACTGCAGTAAATAGATAGGAGGTTTAACTTATCTAAGCCTTACAGGGAGTATAGTGACATAAGTCTTTGATATGACTAAATAATGCTAAACGTATGGGATGATAAAATTGGTCATTGGTAGAATTGGAATAAACCCATTCTGTCCGCATGAAACGTTTGTAGTTTTTCCCACTGACAAGGCCACAGATATCATAACCATTATATGTGAACATCATTGCATAAATTGTTTGATCCAAGAGTTGGTATACGTGACATGTCAAATAATACCACATATAAGACCAGTATGTTAACTGAGGAAGAAATCTGCCTAAACCATTCAACGGTGCTATCAACGTTTGACTTGACTCTAAAAGCTGAGGACATGTCCATTCCTCTTTCTTACTGGATTCCAAAACTACATAAAAAATCCGTACAAGGAGAGATTTATTGCTGGTTACAGCAAATGTACCACCAAATCCCAGTCTCAGAGATTAACCATAATCCTTAATACTATCAAGGAAGGAACTTCTCGATATTCACAGAACATTTTTTGAGACAAGAGGAATTAATACCATGTAGATTCCCCAAAACTCAAAGGATTTGCGTATATTTTTAGAATCTCAGAAACGGACCGAGTTCTGTCAGAGTTAAAACATTTGACTTTTCAACATCGTATACCACTATCCCACATAACAAACTCAAGGAAAAGCTTCATCCCTCGATTCATGGAGCTTTTGTAAACAAACGTGGTGAATAAAGATATACCTGCATATCTATCTTCAGAGGTTCAGGACAATTTGTCATGAAATGGAAACAAACGTCATTTGAAGTGTACCGAGAAAACAATACTTGAAATGCTGGACTTTCTGATTGATAACATCTTTGTGAAATTTGAGGATAAACCATTTCGCCAAGAAATAGGCATCCCCATGGGCACCGATTGTGCTCCCCTCCTTGCGGATCTGTCTCTTTATGCATATGAATCAGAATTTCTGCTTGGGTTGGCTAACTCAAAACAAGGTAATTTATCAAGAAGTTTAACTTAAGCTTCCGGTACATCGAAGATTTAATATCGTCCAATAACTATCAAATGGCCAATTGCCTTCCACTGATTTACTAACCTGAACTTGAAATTAAGGAGACAAGTGAGACCGCCTCAACTGTCTCATATTTAGCTATATTCAAAAAGGTTCAAAGTGACAAAAAATCTCCACAAAGCTGTATGATAAAAGGGATGATTTCAACTTTTCAATAGTCAACTTCCCTTTCATGTCGAACAATATTCCAACAGCTCCAGCCTTTGTTGTTTACTTTTCACAACTTGTGAGGTACAATCGAGTGTACTTTTTTAAGGATTTCAAAGAGCGCCGTGCCACTCTCGCTCAGAGGTTGTTTGAGCAAGGTTACAACATTCAAGGCCTCAGTTTAGCTTTCAAGAAGTTTTATGGTAGACATGTGGAGGAAATTTCCAAATTGGATGCACCAGTGGCAAAAATGATATCCGATGCAATTCCCTATTTTGCCTTATACCATACGTTCCCGAATTATTTCAGGTGAACAAATGACTAGACTTAGCATGTGTTTATGACGGGTGCCAGCAGATATGATTGCTTAAAGGAAATGATGTATGTTTCCATACACATAATCCAAGCACCGACATCTGCCATCCCATAATATCATAGTCAATTCCAAAGTTAAATGAGGATTTTAATTTTAACTTATGCCGTTTTTTAATCCTACTTTGTCAGATTGGATCATTCACGTCAGTCACATGCGGAAGTTTGTAAGATATGGCGCGGAGAACCATTTTTTCAGTGACCTTTCAGATTTCCTCACCAGGCTGAGTATTTGTTACCCCAGACTTTATCGGCTCATTGCATTGAATTGATATCATGTTTTAGCTTTACAAAGGCATACGGAGAGCATATAGAGATTATTTTACACGAGCAAGTGTGTCATACGACCTGTGCGAAACGAGTGTGAATTTTTGTAAATTTTGCACGAGTTTTGTATGAGCCATATGACACACTTTCTCGAGTGTAATAATTTCTTTATTATCCATTTTATTCATGTACATTTGTGCAGTAAAACACGGTAAGGAAGTGTGGCGAGCCTCTTCATTGACGTCACGTTCAAATGTTTAATGACGTCACAGACGACGAAATACAGAAACAATGGTTGCAAGACAAAAGCGATATGTGCACATATGATATATATAACACTGGTTATGTTCCATCATACGGGTATTAAAGTGATATATGTATTTGACATGAAATAACGATATAAATGTTTCATATGACTTAAATGTGCTAAACGTGAGGGTACACTCCCCAAAACAGTTATGGCCATGCCGGGTACATCTGGAACAATAATTTGTTAAACAGTCAAATGATTTTACAGTTGCATCATAAGAAAATTTGATTAAAACCCGAACATCCGCTACCCCCAGAATATCATGATCAATTGCAAAGTAAATTCAGGGTTTTATTTTAAACTTATGGTGGGGCACGTAAGTCCCAAAACTTTCAAAGTAGATTTAAGCTTACCAATTTTTGAAACGTAGTATTTTTCTTATTTCAAATTTCAGGTAAATTTTACTACTGTCACCAGCGGTTGAAGGGATGGTGTAAATCCAGCTAGGGTCCATGCAGGTACCAAAAGCACTGTAAGTCCCCATGGTCCCTAGTATGGTGATCAACCTTCAGTTGTTGGCGACCTATAGCCTTTCTTTATATTGTATTGTCTTCGTCAAATAGTTTTAGATTTACATGCTAGTTTTAGACACAATCTGCGGTAGTCTAGTTATTTTACAGTCCTTCGATGACTGATTATTTAGCATTAGTGTATGCAAAACATTTCTCGTCACTATATGGATGAAATATTGCCGAGGTGGAAAGGGTTATGGGGATTTCTATTTGACACGACATAGGGCGTAATTGGATGAGCTTTTTGGGCCATCCTACACATTCTAGTTGAATGGCTGTTGACCATGTTGCAATTTAGACATACATGTACTTAAGAAAAACCTGCCAATTAAATCCAATACAGTTCTCAACACAGTGCTAACATGGCGAATGTGAGTATGCAGCTCTTATGCCCCTGTACTGTTGAGGTGTCTCGATCTGACGTCTTGGCTGGTACTGGCGGGGAAAGTCCTGACAGCAATCCTGCATATGTTGTGACTAAAATTGTTGCTGTCGATAAGACTTATAGTTGTTTCTTCACGTACGTGATGGTGGTACTGAATATGCAGTCTGCTCTGGTACTCTGCTGGCTCCGGGATTGTTGGTAGCTTTGACTTTGATACCCTGGCATTGGAAGAGGATGAGGTCTGAAGGGTCGTCTGTACTGTTCATGCCTGGCCGTTGTCAGTTGGTCTTGTTTTGGTTTGGTGGTTTGTCACTTTCAAGACATTCACGAGGCTGCCCATTTGTTGATCCTTAGTAGACATGGCACTGACGGCAGCGTGTATGAAGGTCACTATCTCTTTGATGTTAGGCTGGAGTCCGTCTATGATAAGGGTTACTGCATAAGTTTCATCCATATTAATGTGTTGAAAGTAAGAATTGGCTCTCAGTAGTCTTCTATACTTTTGTCCTTCTTTTGCCCAGGGTGCACATTGGATGCATTTAACTTCCTGCTTGTAATATACTTAATTTCGAAGGCGGGAGATAAATGCTGAAATGTGTCTTTTGGCCTGCTTCTAACTTTGTCCGCCACATGTGTGAGCCATCCTTCATAGACAACATAAATGCAGCTCACTTTTTCTGGTCATTATCCGTGTCATTTAGCCCACTGGTCAAATCTACTGAGCCAGGTTGTGGCACAGGCTTGCTCCTGGCCATGAAATTCTGGCAGTGTCAGCAGGGCAAGTGTGGTGGCCATGTTCTTACTTCGTTGGTGGTACTGGGTGTGCTGGATTTGTTGTACATGTTCTTGTTCTTCTTGTTGAATTTGTAGATGTTCTTGTTGTTCTTCTGGTTGTAGTTCTTTATGTGATAGCCTGGTTTGTGATTGTTCTTGCTCTGCTTGGACTGGTCTGAGTTTCCACAGATGATGACTGTTCGTAGGCGTCGCTCCTCTAGACATGTAGTGCTTTTTCGAGGAACGAGTCCACCAACTATAATCAAGCTTATGACCTGTGTTTGGGAA